GAACGTCGACGATTTGTTGGTAATAAAAACTCCTCATTATTCTTTACAGTTTTGATAACTATTCTCGACACTATAATACCAGAGTTTGTTAAATTATGGCCAACTAGAAAAAAAAAAACTTTATTATTATTTGATAAATCCCAACAGTGTAAGAATTGCTTTTCTTTTCACTCATCCGATTAACTCCTGCAAAAATTCTGATGCTTGCGAACAATGCGGAGGTCCTCACAATCTCTCGCCTTGTACATCATAGTTTTTTAAATGTGGAGAAAATGCTGAAATTTGGAACTCTATATCGCTTATCATTCATTGAAGCACACATATCATAGCATTCCAAAAAAAGAAGAAACGTATTCATCCAACTTTCATCCTCTACGCCTTCCGGATTCATCACAAAAGACGAAATATCCCAGATACTTTATCAGCACACATTGGAAACACAAAAACTGATTACAGATATTTGCCAGATTCAGACTGCTTCTTTCAGGAATCTTAAAATATTATCTGAAAATTTCACCACAGCACCCAATTCACTCGGACAATTTAAAAAAAAAAAAAAAAAAAACTCTGCTAAACTTCAACTACAACGCAAATATCCAATTTCAAAGATAAAAAAAAAAAAAATTTTAAACCAGGGTCTCAATTTTTACAAGAATTAGACTATTCAATCTCTAACCAAGCTGAACAAATAATAATAATAATCATCTTCAATGGCACAACAGCCCCATTGTGGACCAAGGCTGTCTGCCAGATTTCGAGGCGAGAGATGTTTTCTTTTTACGGGGTAGGGTTGTCACTTTTACATCCTTGCCATATTAGACCGGGACGTACGGTTTTAAAGTGGATTCGAACCACTACAATCATCCACGGCACCGCCGGAGCTCAAACCCGAAACCTGTGATACCGAGGACCAAAGCGCTAGTCACTCGGCCATCAGCCTCCTTGCGAAGCAAAGCTCCTTACATAATGTTCTTTCTTTTCATCAAAAACATACTAATCAGTCTGACATGAATACATAGTAAACTCTTGTACTTGGCTCTCTATCTCAGGTACATCTTCTATTTTTTCCAGTTTAGATTTAGTTTGTCGCTCTATCTTATCCTCCATTTTTGTACACAATAGGATAATTAGACCGGAATTTACAGTTTAACATGGATCCCGAACTACTCACAAACATCCCTGCCACCGCCAGAATTCGAACCTGAAGTCTGTGGTACCAAAGACCAGCGCTGGCCAATTGGCCATCAGGCAGCTTTTTCCAGCTTAATTTTCTATTCCAGTGTTCTTTAATAATTCCATTGTTCAATGGAATACAAAAAAAGCCTTCCAGCCCCCCTTCCCCGCCCCCGAAAAAAATATGGCTGCTCAATTTTTTTAGTTATGCTCATATTTTTGTAATTTAAGAGACCTTTATTAACAACGACGATGTATTTCATTTACCAGGTAAACTTATTTTTTTAAAAAGATAGATCTAACAACACAAGAAGGGGAGTTTTGATAACCTCCATGGATTCTTCTATTTCTTGTAGGATTATAAATTTTCCAAATCTTCCTCATAAATCTTTTCCATCGTCAATATTTACTCTCCAAAAGATGAATTCAACATGAATGGCTTGAAGCAGTTAAACAACTTCTTTCCTCAACTTCTTTCTTGGAGACTTCAATACTAAGCATCATGTCCTCAGTTCTTCCTCTTCTAACAATTCAGAAATTCTAATGAATTGGATCATAGACAATCATTTCACTATCCTTAATATGAGCACTCACACTCATATTATGGCTTCATCTTTCTCCTTTCTAGATTTATCCATCATTAATGCAGGTATCCTAGCATTTTTTTCCGCTTACATTCAGATTTTTGATAGTGTCTATTTACCAACTCAACTGTCCTTCCAACTCACTAACCAGCTTTAAAAATTCTTTTTTCAATTTATCGTTAAAATGACATTTCTTTCTTGACATTTTCTAACTTCATTACATTTTCGATTTAAATTATTTTACACTTCTGTTGACAACAGGATTATATAAAATTATACATATTCGGAAATTATTAAATAGATAATGAATTAATAAAATGTAAACTGTGCTGATTGATTGTGTAAGATTGAATATTCCCTGAGAAAGAAGTGATCTTACTGCGTGCATATGTGCCATGTCGTGTTTTCGTAAGAAATAAATAAAACCACTGGCATTCGTCGCACTTTCTCAAGGTCTGTACGAAGCACAAACTTTCGTATTCGAATCTCGTCGTACTGTACTAAATTAACTGTATTAATTAATTTTGTTAATCAATGACATTGCGTCGTAAGATACAGCCTGAGTAAAAACTTTAAGGCCAGTAAAAATTTTTGAGAAAATGTAAAAATGAAATAAAAGGGATTCAAATAATATTAATTATTAAAGTTCATTGATAAGAAATAAATGCTATAAACATAATTTGTAAATACATAATTATGAGAAACATGCGGTTATTTACAAAGTTAGTATTTCTGCCTGAGTAAAAACTTTAAGGCCACCAGTCATTTTTTAAAAATAAATATAATATAATCGTGTAGTTACCATTTCAATTACTAGCTTGTGAGAACGCTGCAATTTTCATATTTGTCATACGTTTCTTCGAAGTATTGGGGATCTTTGTGAAGATGGCGAAGGGTAAGAAGTTAACTGATCGTGAAAGAGGACAGATTGAAGCTTTGTCTTCAACAGGAATGAGTAGTCGTGTTATTGCGGTAAAGATAGGAAGATCAAAGACTGTAGTCAACAATTTTTTAAAATTGTAAGACAATTATGGTAAAAAAAAGAATACTGGGGGAAGACCTAAAGCTTTGTCCTCGCGTGATGAAAGAAGAGTTGCCAACTTGCATCTACTGGAAAAGTACTCAACCAGGAAACTGATTCCGACGACAGGTTTAAAAGTTTGCCAAAAAACGATTTATAACACAATTAGAAGGTCTGGAAGGTACACTTATACAGCAAAATTGACTAAGCCTCAGTTACTGCTGAAACACAAAATAGGGCGTTTGAACTTTGACCAGAAAGTCATGACCTGGGACAACCAATGGATAGAAATTATTTTTTCTGACGAAAAAAAATGGAATTTGGATGGACCAGATGGCTGGAATTTCTACTGGCATGATATAAGAAACGAAAAAGAAATATTCTCCAAGCGCCAATTAGGTGGAGGGTCTGTCATGACTTGGGGCTGTTTTTCTTACAATGGTGTGGGCTCAATTGCATTCGTTTCAGGTAGAATGAATTCACAAGGATACCAAAATGGTATAACAAATCATCTTTTGCCAAATGCTGAATGTCTTGCTGGAGAAAATTGGAAATATCAGCAAGACAATGCACCGATCCATTCGACTATTTTTTTCTTATATGTTATTTTCTATGTTGGCCTTAAAGTTTTTACTCAGGCTCAAATATTCATCTGTGTGTTCTATAATATTTTCTAATAATAAAATATTTGCAAATTAATTTTTCTACTTTTTTAATTTTATTTAAGCTCAATAATTATCAATCAAATGGTATTTTAATTCCTCAGTTTAAATGTTTCCATTTTCTCAAAAATGTATACTGGCCTTAAAGTTTTTACTCAGACTGTAGTTTCCTTCGAGCCGTTTCTAACCATATCACTTTTGTGAAGATTTAATGATAACTACGAAAATTATTAAGTGGCCCCATTTTTTTTTTTGGAAGGTGGGGGCGCGATTGTACACAAACAGGAATATTTGCAAAATTCTTAAATGAATACATACAATACAAAATACTTAAAAAATATACAAAATTCTACATGAATTTCTTTTAAAATTGGTCTGAAAATAGCCAACATATTCAATATTAAATTCTATGTTCTAAGTATATTAAAACTATGTATTCTATATTAAAACAAATTAATAAACAAAATATCAATTGTTAATTTGAATAGGTATTTTCAATAAATACCTATTCAAATGTTAATATGAAAATTTAATAATTCTTAAAAATTTAATCTAATTAGTAATTAATTTAAAATTAAAAAGTTTATTGCTAATTATATAAATTTTTTAATTAATTAATACAATTATTAATTAAAGTTAATTTATTTATTTTAATTTAATTTTTCATTCTTAAAAATCTAATAATTCTAACTATAACAGTTCTAATGTCAATATGAAATTTGACGAACTATAACTATGAAAATCATTCTTCATTACTACGATTTTTGCAATCTCACTTGTAACATATAAATATACTTTTCACAGTCAATGACTTGATTGAGAATTTTTAAAAACTCTTGTATCGTTATTTAAAAACGAGTAAATGCTTGGGTTTTTTTTTTTTCTTTTTAATCACATAAATTTATCGGCATTAGCTGTCCAACTGTGGTGTTTATCAACTGTGTTGTTTATTAGAAATTATTCGTTAATTGTCTGTGACATTTAAAAAATATGTAAATGAAGAAATTTGGAAATGATTCGTTAGAAATTAAGTCATCAAATATTTATTATAGCGGGGCCTGCACGGCCGAGTGGCTAGCGCTCTGGCGCTGGGTGCAACAGGTTTTCGGGTTCGAGTCCCGGCGGTGCCATGGATGTTTGTAGTGGTTCGGAATCCACTTTAAACAGTAGGTCCCGGTCTAATAGGTTCGTAGAGCATTGCGGGGGCATTGTTTCTCCGCGTCCGTGACTTATCTTCAAGTTACACGCGCCCCCTGTATAATAACAAAGTGAGTAACGTCTGTGCAGCGCTTGCCTTAAGGCATCCAAGACCAAGCTGCCTAAGTGTTTGTCAGCTGCATTAGAAAATATATATATATATATTTATTATAGCATTCATACCTCAAAAGTAAAGTAATAGTGAAATCCAAGAAATAAACAGTTTTAAGTAAGCAATCATAAAAGTAAATGTAAAAAAATTAAAGTTTGTTTGAAATTATCTGGTAGATATTCCAACTCCACCCCTTCCTTTCTAAAGAATTGAATTAATAATCAATTGATTAATCATAATGAGCCAACGGTATACCATGCTGAATATACTGGTTCTCGTTAGATCACCGAAGTCAAGCATCATTGGGAGCGGTCAGTACTTGGGTGGGTGACACCACCTAGGGAGCCGTTGGCATTCACAAATTAGGGACCTGAATGGCCGAGTGTCTAGCGCTCTGGCACTCGGCGCCACAGGTTTCGGGTTCGAATCCCGGCGGTGCCATTGATGTTTGTAGTGGTTCGGAATCCACTTTAAGCCGTAGGTTCCAGTCTCCTATGACTGTAAGAGCGGTCACGGAGCTAAAGTCAGACTTCTACCTAAGGGCGCTCCATCACAACAGAAGCTGCTTCCTTCCCCTTCAATCATGAGTACGTGTGGGCTTGGCCAGCCAAGTGGGATAAGAAACAACAAACGTTAATCATAATAACATTTTTCAATCTCGATATACTAATTTACTTAAAAATTGCATAGCATTACAGTCATATTTGATAAATGTCTGATTGAATGTAAAAGTATTATTTTTTATTTTAAATTTTGTAATACTAATTGAAGTATTTTCTAATATTTTTATTTGTTTAAAAACACTTTCTGTTTGCAATTAATGAACAAAATATCTTTAAAATTGAAAATGAATTCAAAGTCTACAAATACCGGAACAGTTATCAAATTTGGACATCATTGATTAGGAATTGATAATTGAAAAATGCCATTGTAATAAAGAAAGAAATTTGAACACATGAGAAGTGGTTGTAACATTGATTACAATCACTTATCAAACGATTTTGCTAGAGAAAAAACAAAATGAATTAAATTTTGAAGCTGTAATGTTTGTACAGTGACGATTTATTTAATATTACCCGAATGCATTAATTTCTTTTGTATTTAAATTTAAACCTATTCACAATTTGTTCAATATATATATATATGATATTTTGACGCAATAACCTTCGTCCTATCACTCGTTTGGGAAAACAAAGTGGATAGATTCAAAATAATATTAATAATAATAATTATATAACTGACGTGTTTATTCTAGGTTCTGAGTTTAATTGCTAATGTTTTGTTAATTAGTTTGTTGTTTCGTTTAATTTTGTTTGTTTAATTTCTAATGAGAATAGGGTGAACCTAACGATATTTGAAAAAAAAAAAAAAAATAGTTATAATCAATCAAATGCAAGAAGATTTCTTTTTTTTTTTTACAGACAAACTGTTCTCTCAAAAACAATGCTCTAAATATCTGAATGCTCGTTGTAACGGCAGACAATTGAATTTAAAGACACGAAGAATTTTTTTTTTTATTTAATGCAAATTATTTGTTTTTAAAATTATGTTTGTTCATACATATAAATATATAAAAGACTATGATTTGCATTTCTTTTATACCTTGCACATTTATTATTTGAAAGAACTGCAAAATGTAAGTCAGTCTTGAATAAACGTTTTTTTTTAATTGCTAATTAAAAGTTTGTTTCTTTAAAGAAGTAGAACGAAATCGAACATTCCAATGCAACATATACATCACAAATTCTTGAATCATAACGAAAAGTGAAAGAAAGAAAAATCCAAGTATTTTCAATATTCTAATATTTACCTATTTCTTTCTTATGGAAAATGCACTCAGATTCAAAATATTCTGAAACTTATGAGGATTATCAAACTTTTGGAATAAATAATTTAAACCAAAATTAAGAGAATATATTGCACAATGTTTTTGAATTTTACATCATCTGTTCCAGATATGCAAAAGGAATGTAGAAGTTCATTTTTATGTCAAGAGATGGCGCTATATATGCGCAAAAATGAATTTTATGGTTTCGCTTCAAGAATATTGAATCAGAAGTTTATAAGCAGTCAACTCTTTATCGATACCTGCATATTGTCGTTATTTTAGAAATACATTTTCTTAATCAGTAATGGCGGCTGCTCAAATCGATGCTAAATTACTTCAAGAAATTGAAGATTATGTCAAGATAAATAAGGTTATGATTTTTAGCAAATCAAGGTGCCCTTATTGCCATACAGTGAGTTCTGATTATTTAGTGTTTTTGTGTAAAATATATTGTGTATTGCACGTTGTTAATAAGCTTCCCGCTTCTTTGCTCTTGGAAAAACTTTTTTTAGTGCTATAGAATTTCGTATTATAAAAGACGAAATTATAAGTCTATTCTTCGTAAAGAAAGGGGGCTGCAGTGTTGTATAATTTCTACTCATACTCTTATAACTTCGCCCTATTACTTATATTATTGATTTCTCAATGCAATAAAATATGGAATTCGTATTATTATTTATAAATATTAATAAAATAATATTGTAAGCAATTATTATGGAAATTTAAAAATATGTAACATATTCTGAATTATTATGTTTTTTGTTTTTTTTTATGTTAAAAGAAAATTTTTTTTATTATTATACAGTATGCCCAAATGTTATTATTCTTCTATTAAAAATTGACTATATGATTTTTTTTTTTTTAAATTTCAATATTGTTCTGCAGCATTATTCATAATGTATATCATACAATCACTAATTTAAGGAATTTATTCCTCATTAAACATTCTACAGGTTTCATAATATTAGTAAAACTGTTGTACATTATGTGCATATTAAATAATCACAATTTGGATCAGTTCTGTGTACGATCAATATACATGTAGGAGAATCCCCTGTAAGTTAAATTCTGAGGGAAATAGCAATTAAGTATAAAGTTTTAAGTTTATAATTAATCCTTAATTTTATAATTGTATCATAAGTAATTAATTAATAATTATCTATGTAAAAATAAATGCTCAAGGATTTCATTTATTATATATAATTTTAATGTACCAATTCAAATAAAAAAATTATTTTACTGCTATTTAAACGTTAGCTGGTTTGTAATGTCATGCATTTTATATTAAAATTAATATGTTATATTGATATTAAAGTGTAATTTAATGGCAATTTTTTATTTAATGCTTTAATTAATATTTTCATCTGTACAGGTAAAGGAGCTGCTTAAATCATTAGGAGTGGACTATTTTGCCCTTGAATTAGATACAACAGGTAAAGCAGATATTCTTATAAAATTATTTCTTAAAATAGTATTAACTTTGTAAATTGCAATATGGTGATAATGATGATTTTATTTTTTTTTTTATTCATCAAAAATAAATTAACTTAAATCATTAACTAATTCATTTTTATATAATCATTAGTTAAAAGTCAAATATTTTTTTAATTTTTATTATTTGCATTAGTATTGTTCTAATGCAAATATTTCATGAGTAGAAAGTTTAAATTTTAACTAGTAAAGGTGTGTGCATGTGCATAAATATTTTTTTCCCTGTACATGTTCAAAATTATTTTCTTTATTAATGTAAATTTAAATATATATTGAAAAATTTTTTAAATTAATTTTAATTTCTATAAAGATAGGGCTGTCATAAAAACCTGAAGGAACTTTGGAAATATGTTCATATTCTGTTAAAGCATGGCATGTTGTGAAGTTTCTATAAATAGAACAAATGGAATTGAATCAATTAAATTCCTTCATTATGTATTTATAATGAAGGAGTGTCAAATATTATATTTTTTTTATTTAGCAGAAACCAATAATTTCTGCTGATATGAAATTTTATTAGTTACATGCAACAAAATTTATGAAGCTTCATTTCTAACTAAATCTTTGTTATTTATTATTTATCTTAAATTCAATTTCAATTTATTGAGAATAAATGAAAGCTTGATATCTTTCATTTAATTTATTGTTAAAATGTATCGAAGAAATTATATTTTCATCTGGAAGTTTTAGTTGTTAAAATAAATAATAGAAGTTTTTATTTACTGACACTATTACAACAAACATTCTGGTAAAATCAATATTTATTTCAATTAGTTAAATTTTTATTTATCTAAAAGGAATGAACAAATGAGATGAATGTTTTTAATGATTAAACTAAATTAGATGACAAATATTTTTTGTATATTTAATTTTGAAGATAGGATTTCCCTCCTCCCCTTAAATATATGAATTTATTTAATGCTGATAAAATTCATTAAGTTACCAAGTTTTACTTAAGATAAAAAGGTTAAGATTTGCTTAAAGTAATAATATTTTACAAATTCATTTAATATGAATTGAATGTGGATTAGTTGTTGTATTATGATACTGTAGAAATAGATATACTGATATTTCTGTTGCAACTTTCTCTTTGATATTATGCTACAATGACCCTTGTAAAACAATATTATTTTTAAATATATAAGACAATAATTCTGAAATGATTATGGAATCTGATCCTATAAAAAATTAAGTTACTTGATAATTAAAAATTCTATCTAATTAGTTAATTAAAGATGAATTATAAATTTAATCTTTTTATAAAGCAGAAAAGATTATTTAATCTTGAGTTAATATAAATAGATTCACGAATGAAGTAATCAGAGAAAATATAATCTCTATACTTCAATCTGGTATAAAAAAAATATTCACTTTGATTATATTTATTTCAATGTTTGATTTTATTCATAAAAAATATTTTCAGATGACTTAATTGACAGTTGAGCTATCAACCTACATAGTAATTTAATTGCTAGAAACTGATTATACAAAATATTCTAAGTCTTGTTCTGAATTTATTAATTTTAAGTTGTTTTTTTTTTTAATAAATTGATAAAAGCTGAAAATGTGTTTTTCTTCTGTATTTTGGAAATACCTATAACCAAATCAAAACTATATTTGTTATTTATTGAAATCTTCAATCTTTTTGATTTTAACAGAAGGAGGTAGCCAACTACAGCGAGCTATGGGCAAGAAGGTGGGACGAACTTCAGTTCCTCAAGTTTTCATTAATGAAGAGCATATTGGGGGATGTGATGATACTTTGGCTGCTCATGAAAGTGGAAAACTGCAAACTTTGTTGAAAGCAGTTGCTTAAATTGTTTCCGATACGGAGAAAAAAAAAGTTACACTTTCCAAAGTACTTAGTTATGCTTTCTAAATTCAACGTATTTATTCATGTTAATCAATTAAACTTTACATCAATCAATTGTGATGCATAGTAAATTGAATATATAATATAAAATATTACATCAAAAAATTCTTTTTTAATTAATTGTGCTATTTAAAACATTAGTT